GTTTGTAAGACATGAATGTTTTTTTCCAAAACCAGATAAACAACATAAAAGTTCTTCAAAAATAAATGCTACAAAAATGTCTGCAAATAACTGTCTAAATGAACCAGAACATAGATTTAAAACCAGTTAGTTGTGATAAAAGTGAAACTAAGTAACACAATTGAAAGCAAACTAATACTGTAGATTGGAAATCAGATGTTTAAGACATCATTTTGGCATCACTTCACTGCTTTTGTGTAAGAAAGGGCAGCCTTTGTAAATAACCACTGATGAAAGTGGCTTGTTACTTAAATAGTATTCAAAGTAAGAAACAATGAAGATGCCACAATGATGGAGTTCTCAATTATATTGCAATAAATTTAGCTGGTGTTATCACAGTTATAGAATTCTTTACATTGTGATAAGATCAAAATAATTGATTGGTGTGCTTTCTACTGAGAATCAGAACAGCATGAGAAAGTATGTATCTGAATGTTAATAGTATGCAGACAAGTGCCATTTACATAAAGATCACCTTCCACTGGCTATTTACCTTTGGAACGATAGTATGTGATAGTTTGAACTGGCTTCATAGAAGCAAGTAAAGCAATCTTATTGACAAAGCACCTCGTGATGAATATCACATTGTATCCCTGAGAGTATTTAGAGGGCAGTTTTTGTTATCATAAGTTTCAAAATACCAAACATCATTCACTGCTTAGACATTCAAAATTTTTAATGAATCCCATATACTTTTCAAGTTAGGAGAGATCTGAAAGGAAAATCTAGAGCTGATATTTTCATTAAGTTTACTTAAGACTCTCATTCTTTTAAATCAGTGAACCATTTCAGCTGTGATGGTTGGGACACAAATGTGTCACTATCTAAGATGTAAAGTAGAAACTGAGAATTTTAACAAATTACAATTTACAGAGATATAAATCTGACATTGGCTTCAGGTCCAAATTTCAAAAAAATCCTTGCAAGAGAATAAGTCAAATGACTCCATATAAATGACAAAAATCTATAGTCTAATTAGCAGAGGTCCAAATTTACATTATAAAATCTACCTAAAATGTTAAGTGCTTTCTAAAAAGATGCTGTACTACATATTCATAAAACACTACACAGATTTTACAATCTACAAAAATATTGATATACTTATATCTGAAATATAAAAAAAAAAAAATCAAACTGAAAATTTTATGAAGATTTATCACACACTATACATGTTTATCTAATTTTAGAAAATGACCATATCAACACTCAACTTAGTGTAACAGCATTTCAAAGGCAGTCTGATGCAGAGGTATGGATGTCAGACTGTAAGCTGAAATCTAGATCATTAAGTTGTCACCTGTATATCAAAGGCACTACACAGGCTAATATTACTTCATGAGAAGGCTGTTATACTGTAGGATCACCTCAGATCTCATGTTTGCAGTAAATGTCAGTTAATAGTGATGAAATTATTGTATTCTCCCGGAAGGATATTTTTTCCCCTCTCAAAGTAGTTTAAGTTAAAAATCAAGAGTTACTTATAATTTGGGGTCATTTTCCTTTTGGTTTAACACATCTATATAGAGCTAAGCAAACCTGGTATGACAGTGTCCTAATGCACTATTCACAACTTACTGGCTCAACTCACATATTTGGTAGATATTAATAAAACCTATTTCTTTAAGATCTTAGAGATTTGTGAATGCAAAATATGTCAGCAATTTCCATCAAAAAGCTAAAAACTTTACAGCATTATGTAGGTCACTTTTACATGAAGAAATGAATAGACCTTCTGCAGCAGAAGGTGACACTGTAGGCAACAAAACCCTACTCTTCAAATAACTTCCAAAAGCAGACGAAAGCTAAAGAAATACAAACAAAAGGACTTCAAGAACAAAGAATAATCTAGGACAGGTTAAATGTCTGTGCTGTAAATGAGACCAGTGGTTAACAAAACAAGCTTGGGATGTTGATATAAATCCTGATTAAGCATTGGAGAGGAGCTCAGGCCTTGAACATCATGGGTACAGGCTGAAAACAGAAGCTCCACAACCGTAAAGAAGTCACTAATGGCCAATTAATGGTCACTGAAAAAAACCCACAACCTCAAGCTTGTGAAAAGACTGCTTTCACATTAAGAATAGAAGTAGCAGCTAAGCAAAGGAAAAAAAATCCAGCTGAAAGCACTGCTGAGACCTGGGGAAGTAAGATCACCTGAAGGATTTTGCATCATGTAATCTAGGGATAGACAAGAGGGTTGGGAACTGTCTAGAAATTAAACCATTTTATAAAATGATAAGATCCCAAAGTGGATATGGGAAAGGAAAGATGGTAGAGAAGAAAAAAAATACCCAGTTCAGTTCTAGCTTCCCTTGCAGAAGAGCTCTCAAGTTTATCCATGTCATCTTGCCAACTAAGGCCATCACTGATAGTCATTATTGCCAACTCTACAGCATCAGCTCTATGACATTTTATATTCACATTAAATTTAGGACACAGATGTTAAGGACTGACTGCTTTGAATATGTAGTGGTAGTGACTGACAGTAAGAACTAATTTGTAGTGTTAATAACAAATAACACGTAAGAGTTAGTTATAGCACAACCAGTTCTGTTAATGATTGTCAGTCCAGTAATGTGGGATTGTTTTTTCATCTTTTTAAGTTTAAGACAAACAGTTAAAAAACTCCAAAGTGGCACACAGCACAGTGATACACAGGCATCCTTAACCTTCAAGTCATTTTCAGCTAAAAAGCAACGTTACTGAAAACTGTAGAGTGGAGATGCAGAGTACACTACGATCTCCTCACTGAAAAGAAAAAATCTTGAAGAACCAGTTAGTACATATACTCTATACTTTTCTCTTCTTCAAGTATACACCTGTTTGAGTTCCAGAAAATATTTTCTAGGATGGAGACATTAATGAGTTTTCAGCTACTTCATTCAAGCAATAATTGAAATAATGTTCCTACAAATCCAACATTTGACCTAGTTACCATATAAAGAAATGATATGCAGCAAAAATCAGTTACTCCACAGTCACCCTCCAGGTAAGAGTGTTTTAGTATTTTGACAAAGGAAGAACCTCGTTAGAAATTTGTCAGCAGGTCAGATGTAAACACTTTATGACTGATTTACAGATTCTTCATGAGAAGATCGCCTTTCAATGAACTAGCTACAGCTAGGAAAAAAAAGAAGGGAAACAAGGAAAAAATAATTTTTGAATATCTGTGTTACTCTTTCATCTGAATCAGAACAACATTATGCCTCTTCAATTAATAAATATTGTTTTGGAAGACTGCCAAAACAAATAAAAAGAAAACCTAACCCCCACTTTTCATATTGTTGTTGCTGTCCTTCTTGACAAACAAATCTATCACAGGTGCTTTCCACCGACAGAATTTGGGTTTTCCAATAGACTTTTAAAGTGGTGTTGCAAACAAGCACAAGAAAACTCACAAGGAGCTCTGCAGAACAAAAATCAACTCATTAGTGGTGAATTTAGTGAGTACTGGACTCAAGACATTTATAGCTTCAGGCGATCCTATCATCTTTTCCCATCTGATGTTTAGATCAGTCATTCCAAACTGAACCTTAAGTGGCTGCTAACAAGAGAGAGAAACCTCTTTCTGTACATTTATATGATTTAATAACAAAAACAACAAAAAAAACCTACTAAGAGACAAAGCAGCTATTTACTCAATGACCTAGCTGATCTGTAGATGACAAGTACATAGTTCCCAGCTACATCAGCTGAAGCAGTAGGTTTAACTACCAGACACCTACATACACAGGTGGGTATAAGACTGGGAAGTCAGTAACATTGGCACCTGTATTCTGGGAAGCCTCAACATGGCTTTTTGAAGCACAGGACTTGAGAGGAGCTTTAATTTTCCCTGAAAGACTACCAATTTTCTACACAAAGCACTATCAGTCATACATACAGCAGCTCTGAGAGAAGGATATCTAACCTCTTTTGAAACACTTCCAGTCATGCATGAACACAGATACCAATTTTACCCTTTTCTAGTCTTCTGCAGCCTCCTCTATCTTGTGTGGGCTTTAAAAAGATTGTCACTGGTAGTTTTCTGATTGAGTCTTGAATTCTAAAGAATTAGAAATTGTGTGCTCAGAGGGTAGCCGCCTGGTTTCCCATCTTGAGAGAAAGCTTTAGTCTCACATCTCAAGACACTGATGTTCTTGAGAAAATAAACCAAAGACTTTTCGTTGGAAGAATCTCTGAAACTAAACACACCTACTCGGGCTATTAGTGAAATGTGGGAGAGACAGATAATCACTTATGCCAAAGGTGCCGACCAGGGTTTGATGGAGAACTTTTTAACAAGATCTGCTTATTAAAAAAAAAAAAGAGAGTAGCTCATGATAATTTACACAGTAAGTCATGTATCATTCCGAAGGATTCCAGAAGCTCAGTCTGGGATAAAATATAGCCGTATAGAGGATCAACAGATATCTTTCTTAGTAACAGAGAACTCACAGTGGAAAAGACAACACAGCATAAATGAGTAACTTTAAAAATGCACGGCTGAGGTTTCTTTCAAGGTGTTTCAATAGGAGCCTATTGAAATAACAATTGACATACTCAAAGAAAAATCCAGAGTACTTCAGGAAGGGCTTATTCTCCTCAGAGAACAAAAATGAATATGTAACCTTAGTTAAAAGAAAGAAAATGGCTTTGTGATTTGGAAAATGTCTGTTCTCATGTAATGAAAGGTGTTTTGAGCATAACTGAACTTATACTTGGTCACACAAGGTTCAATATATTCTAATGGAAAAATATAAAGCGGTGTTATGAGTTCTAAAATAGCTTGATGAAAACAGGTAATTACAGAAGCTCATTAGCAAAACAAAATTTAAGAACCTCTTTGCTGTAAGCTTTAACCAGAATCAGTGAAAATCATTCATTTATTGTCTTTTCTGATAGCACATTCAGGTAATGAAAAAATAGCAGCTTTATTTCCAGTAAAACAGTAGATAAAATGCATTTTCTACAGTGCTTACCTGTTTTCATTTCTAACAAGCGCTTTTTCTTTTGTTGTCTCTCTTGTTTTTCTTTTTCTGCCTTCTCCTTAGCTATTTTAGCACGCCTCTGTTTTTCTTCTGCTTCCCTTCTTCTCATATTCTCCTTTACTGCTTGCTATGGAAAAAAAAAAAGTAATACAGAGTTTCATTAAAACTGAGGTCTTAGCAAAAACAAAGCCGAACCTTAAAAACAAAGAAAAACAAAGAAAAAAGCTTTAAAATAGCATCTCCTAACTAACTTTAATTTATCCAGCCAAATAAATATTTCACACTCCATATTTAGTACATTTTATTCAGAAGACTAAGCAAATTCAGAATAAATACATTAAAAGCATACTAACTAGCCCCAGATGAGGATTATAAATTCAGCAAGAAACACAGCTTAAGAACACACACAATAATGCAGGAAGAATTCAAAATACGTAAACCACCTGGTTTTACAAAACTGTAGGTATGTTACTCTTTGTATTTCTAGTATAGTTTCAACATTTATTCTTTCTCATGCTACCACTATACCAAGCAAAGCAAGGCTGCTTGGGTGACTTAACTTTGCATTTTTCTTATTCTTATCCACATATGTATTCATTCACTAGGTTTATAAATTCTTATCTTCTAGTTAATATGCATGCAACATTGTTTATTTTGAATTAAAGCAAGCACACCAACATTTCCAGTGAAGCTAAAACAGAACTAAGAGTTTTAGAGTTTTTAAATCATTATTTTGCATATTCAGATATTAAGTAAAAAAAACAAACAATTTTGTCACAAAGCTATTTTAGGATTACCTTTCCATTATTTTAGTGTTAGCTATGTACACTGCTAAATTCTCAGTGCTCTGCTGCGGCTTGCATTAAATGTAAAGTGCCATGCACCTATTCATTGCAGCAAGTTTCTCTTTTCAGAATGCAATTACACACAAAAATCTCATCTTTCACAACAGATCAAAGTGTCCCCTCCTAGAAAATGGCTAACATCTTAATAAGATGTCTGAGGTAGAGGCTGTACGTTTGCAAGGATAATTAATGTCTCACATTGTTTTTAGTGGGAGAATGTCCAGCTTGAACTCAGAAAAAAAAATGTAAGAATGGACTGAAGAGTACTATAAAGCACAGATGAATATGGATTACAGCAATATTTGCAAAGGCATTGTTTCTAACATTTCTGCAATAGGTAGTGACCAAAGGAAGGGAACTAAAAAAAAAAAAAAAAAAAAAAAGAAAAATCACATAAATCTTGTGAGGGAATATCTATCTTTGAGAACTGAAGAATAAACTTTCAATCATGAAAAATGACAATGAAATGACTTTTTAAACAAAGCAAAACTATGCTTCCACAGTGTCTTTGCCAAAGTCACCTCTCAATTTTCTTCATACCGGGGGAGAAGCCTACTACAAAATGTTAAAATTCTAGATTGAATTGACTTTAACAAATTATTTGCAGATTTTCAGACTGAGTATTCTGTAAAATTGCTGAAAAAAAAACTTAAATGGAACTTAAACATAACTACAATTTTGGCAGAAATTACACACTTTCCTGACAGATTGACCAAGGAAATTTCTATCTTGCATCTACTTTTTTCCCCAAAACAATACCAGTAAGACCCAGTCTCAGAATGCAGTCATTCAAATGTAGGTGTCTATTCCTTTCTAATCACACTGATCAACCGGGCTTGATTGAGTAGCTCACACCTTCCTATTCAGTGTAATTGGATGCTTTGGAGTATCACATCTTGCCTCCAGCCTTTCTCTAGCAGGACACTGGTCTTCCATTAAGTTCTGTGTCATATCTTAAAATTTCAAGCTGATGATACCTTGAACACCATTTAAGACACCACTTCAGGATACTAGGCACTTCTATTGATAGGTCTGCTTTGAGACATCCGGTAGGCAACTCTCCAAATTCCACTAACTGTAATAAGTATGTATCTCCCTTGACTAGAACAGGAGATTAGACACTCAAGCTCACATACAGATGTCAATGTTTAGAGGTCTACGCCCTAAAGTCAAATCCTATCCTACATGTTCGGTGTGTTTTCAACACAAAACTAAGTGTCTAAAGTTCATGCTTATATCAAGAATTGTCATAAAGTTGACTGAGACAAACATATTTGTTTCTTAGACTGATGCATTTCAAAGATTAAATGTCTTAACACTTCCTTGCTTAAAAGGCCTAGGAAGTTAGACATGGTCTGACTGCATCTATTGGTCTATGAGCAGCGTTGCATTCAGCATATGACACAGTATGCAAAGTTAACTTCCAGAAGAATTACCAAAGTGTACTCCTTTTGCATATCATGCCAAGGCTTACAGTTTCCGAGATGAAGGCATTTTTGGGTTCTCGTTCATGTTTTCCAGGATAATGTCTGATTTTTATTCAAGTATTTGCATAATGTAGAAGAAAAATACTCTAGGGTCTAGGGAACAAACTCCTACTTGGTTGCTCTTCTGGTTCTATAAGACATGTTTCTGCTGCAAAGCAATCTAGTGTTGACAGGAACAAGGGGTTTCTACAGTCTTATGATTAGCATAATGTCTTGGATATAAGAATTGCTGACACAAGGCCTCTTCTCTCCCTCTCCTACAATTGTAGGAAAATTCTAACTATTAGACAAATACAAGAAAAGGAAATACTACAATTGCTTCATCATATTTCAGAAAGTTGTCCTTCCAAGGAAGGGAATAAGTCTGTTACCAGTACCTCTGATGCTGTGAAACCACAGAAAGAGGTTAACAGATGTCTGATACCTAAGATGTTCTATTGACAGTACCAGGAATTTAGCTTCGGGAGTTAAAGCACTGAATTTAAGGTACTTCACCCATTTCTTCCATCTGGCCAACTAACTGTGCTCTAAATTTGTGCTCACAGAGTGTGAATATTAGCTGTCAGAGCCACCAAATAACACTGAAGCACAAAACACAATACAACTTAGCTATGAACCCAGAATCTATTGCTCCAGATTTAAAGATGCTTAATTTTCATTATTTGAGAACTAAAAAAGCATTATAAGTAGATAAGTACTGTGTGTAAATTATCAACTTTGCCTGACAACAAGGAAGACTGAACTTCACTTTCCCATACTTACTGATGACTTAAGTAGTCTTTCAGTTTTGTACTTTTTAAGAATCCAATGATTTTTCAGCAGTTTAAAATTCAGAAGTTTAAAATTCTTTCAAGCCGAGTTTTTTAGGATGCCAAACACCTTCTGTTCCTGTCAATAATCATGACCAATGCTAAACAATTCTGAAAATCAGACCTCAAGCGTCTTATGCTAGAAATCTCAAAAATCTTTTCCAAAAAGTCTCAAAACTGAGCAACTACAATATTTTCTTCAGTGTCATTGAATGATAAGTTGTTTCATGCCTTATCTACACACCTTTTTCATATAGCCTTCAAAACTGTGCTCTGCAAGACAGAATTATTAATTTTCCTCACGGTTTCTTCTATCATGCTCATCAATAATATCTAACTGGTTTGAAGCATTAATTAATCTATCTTTATAACACTGCTGTGAAGCAAGGGTTAGTATCAGTGCTAGTCTTTCAGCCACAGAAAAGAAATAGGGAAAATCAAGGTAAAGCACAACCACTTCTTTATGTCACCAATTCAAGATGAACCTAAGCATTTAGAATTCTTATTCTATAGCATTTAAATGGGAGAAGGGCTTTAAACACTAGAAATTAAACTAATACAACTATTTCATAACATTTAGCATTTTTGAAGTCAGACTCCTGAGTTTCAAATCAGGCACTGGGCAAGTTAGGAAAACACAAACAATGCCCATATTGAAAAGTCTGGCATAGGTAACTTGCCAAACAAAGTTATTCTAATTGAAGACTGTTCCTTCTAGGTTTTTAGCTGTTAATCTCTGAAGTAGCAGAGGCTTGGTAATCTTTACATGTTCCAATATGTTTGCTAAATATGGGTTCCATCTGAAGTCCTTTCCTCAAAATAGATGGACATAGGAATTTCAAAATCCTTCCTTAATATCTGCAAAATAAGTATTTTTTCCCTATCTACACCCTCAGACATGTCTGAAATCATTAAAGAAACCAACCGACCAAGCAAAGCCAAACAAGACTGGGAAACATGTAAGTAACTTAAATAAGTACGTTGCAATGATAAGCGTGAGGCTGCAATGAGGAGTAGATGGCAGAATGACTAATTGAATCTCTCTACAGATCAATAGGCATGAGCTGGATCACTGCTCCAGACTTTGTCACAAAGCTCATGCTCAGATAACATCCCTGCGGGAGCATAGCCAGTAAATTAAGCTACGTAATCATAGGTAGCCAGATGTGACATGAGTCACCTTTTGTAAGTTATCCAAATGAACAACTTCATATACAATTGGGGACCTGCCTTTTTCTTCTTCCGTTTCTTCATTGAGAAAGAGATACTTACCAGTCAAGTGTTCAGAATCCAAGAGAAACAATTATTTTTGCAAAGAAAACTTAAAAAAAAAAAAACTGAAAACAACCACAACCTCCATACAAAATCAACAACCTCTCGTTGCCGCTCTAACTTTATAAAATGTGAACATAGTTATAAATCACAAAAAAGTGGTCCCCACTAATCCTAAACAAGAGCTCTATAAAAGTATTTTGAATGTATATAGACATCAGCTTTCCTAAACTTGTTTGGTTATTTTAAGTTGAGGGATACACCAGTCTTGAGAATGCATTCTGAAGTATACCACCAAGTTAACTGTTCTTCTTTTTATATATAATGCAGAAGCTGCCCTGTGGTACAAGGACAGAGCTAACTTCTACATCTGTGACTGCTGATGACTCTAAGGCAAAAATTCTGAGTCTGAATTGTGCTTATAACTATGTTCTGAGCTCTATACAAAAGGAGCCATCTGGATCAGTGTAATGTCTGCTTCTCAGATATAATTAAAATATTTAAAATAATAACAAAATAATCATTCTCACCCCCTCCTCCCAAATATCATCCTTTTCAAAGGGAAAAAAAGAAAATAAGCATTTAAAATGCATAAAACTTAAAATCCTAGACAATCTATTGTCACAAAAATTAAAGGTCTTTAGAAACAGACTGAGTTTGAGGAAAATATGCTATTTTTTTTTAAGCGAGGATAAGGAGCTCCGAGTTTCCATAGCAGGGAGCCTGCTTACAGATGTAAACCTTGACACTGATCTAGTGCTGCAGGCAAATGAAAAATTAAACAAAATAAAGTCTTGGGTCTGGCTTTTGCATGGGAAGAGAATGTGTTATAAATATAGAATAATTGTTAGAATATTTAAGTAAATAACAATCAACCTTTAAACAGAAAATGCAGTTGTGTTTAAAAAAGGTAGAGTTTCAGATTTTTCTCGTTCAGGTTATACATGCATGTAAGAGGCTCAGTTTTAAATTACATTCACTGTTATTAGGGATTTCCAATTCTTTCAGAAAGAAATATTCCACAAATAATAATTCAAACTCTATTATCCTTAGGACATCGTAAGAATTCAGGATGTACCAATTAAAATTTCTGATATGTGTATCAGATACCATTCGAGGAGGAAGAAAATTTTTTTTAGTTTGTTCGGTAATTGAAAGATCACAAAAATAATTTCTAATAAACATTAGGTATAAAATAAACAGACTGTACCATGAACATTGTCCTGAAGTTGTTTAAGTCAGTTAAAAACTCCTCCACCGAAACTTTCTTCAGATCAATGGCATAATATCCCATCACATTCTGATACAATTTTTCCATGTTCTCATGCATCCGTGAAAGTTTCTGAAAATCTTCTTTGGCATGAACTAGAAAGCTGTACGCTGCTGCTAAGGCTGCAAGAATACTCAGTGAATCCAGTCAAACCCACAGTTTTTACTTAATGTTGATCTGTGTTTCAGATACATTTTTCATTTGCATCAAATGAAGTATCAAAAGAATTCTTTCTTTGTCATATATGCTTCCTAGCATTTACTGTGTGTATTAGGCCTATGAATGAATCAGAGTCCTTTCATCAAATTTTCTCAGCCACTTTAAATTTAAAGAGTATTCCATTAGCATATAATTTTGTATGAAATGAACCGTATGTGACTAATCTAACTTCAAGCACCTATGCAGTTTATTTAGCATCACTGTCTCCTTATTGAAGCTAAAGGTTTAGGTCAATAAATTACAATTTACATGTAATTCAGGTACAGTGATCAATAAATAACCTGAATACTTTAATATATAAAAAATAGTGTGGTAACTGTTAACATTGGGGGGGGGACGGGAAGAGAAAAATTAATAAACAACAGTATTAAAAGTAAAAACCATGAAGAATTAAAAACTTCATCTTAACAGCTTTTTTTAAAAAAAAATGCTGTTGTAGCAACTGCAACGCATTCATTTCTATTCCTGGTGGCTGCATCAGCTCTTTATGTTTTTTCTAAGGCTACTTGCAATGTCAACACAACTTAATTAAATTAGAGGTGAAAACAATAGAACAACTTCTACAAGAGACAGCCAATTTATAAACAGCACCAAAATACTGCATAACATAAGTGAAATAAGAAAACCTACGTTTATATAAGACTCTTGATAATATAGTTTACCAAAGGAGCTCAAAGAAGAAATATCATGTAGGATAATTTCATACAGTGTTTACTTTAATAAAATGGCAGCTAAACATTACTCTCATGCTGCAGGAAAGACTACAGAAAACAAGAAATTACAATTTTACCTGTACTCCCAGTTGTGCCCCCTCCCCCCCCCAACTATTGCAAAAGAGAATTTACTGTATTTGTATACTTCATACCACAGATACACACACTATGGTCACTGTATTATATGAAACAAAGGATTTTTTAAATCAAGTGTATTAAAATGTAGACAAATGGACTTTTTTGTCCACCATGCTGTTCTAAATACACAGTAACAATTTACTGCTGGGTGACTGCTCTCGCCCTTCAGGGTTTTTGTAATGCACTGTTCTTCTAGTTTGTTTAGAGGCTAAATTTCATTTGAATTTCACTATTACATGTCCTTCTGGGTTTCTTAATATTGCTTTTGAAATACCAAGTAAGCAGTTAATGTTTTTATTTTTTTCTGTGATTTACAATCTATGCCAGAAAGTTATACAATAATGTTCTCAGACACATGCAGGAAACCAGAACGGTCTCCACTGTGACAGTCTTATAGAAAAGGATGAACTGAAGCTTACATTTCGATGATATTAAATGATACACATTCCATCACCCCACTTGATTTCAGACTTTCTCTTCCTCTGACAAAGCTCCTCAGCCAGTATGAGCTTCTTTCCATATTTCTATTGACTTCACAAGATACAGCTCGTGAGCAGCTACAAACTGCCTGTGCGGACTGGCTAGCAACAGCTCAAAGAGAAGTGATGTTGCTGGCCCACTTTCTCTTCCATATCAATTTGAATCTGTCTGCTCTACTTAGCTCCAAAGATCATAGAATCATAGAATGGTTAGGGTCGGAAGGGACCTCAAGGTCGTCTAGTTCCAACCCCCCTGCCATGGGCAGGGAAACCCTCCACTACACCAGGTTGCCCAAAGCCTCATCCAGCCAGGCCTTGAACACTTCCAGGGATGGGGCATCCACAACTTCTCTGGGCAACCTGTTCCAGTGCCTCACCACCCTCTGAGTGAAAAATTTCTTCCTTATATCTAATCTAAATCTGCCCTCTTTCAGTTTAAATCCATTGCCCCTTGTCCTATCACTACACGCCCTTGTAAAAAGTCCCTCTCCAGCTTTCCTGTAGGCCCCCTTTAGGTACTGGAAGGCTGCAATAAGATCACCCCGGAGCCTTCTCTTCTCCAGGCTGAACAGCCCCAACTCTCTCAGCCTGTCTGGAAGATGCACAAAGCTTACAGGAAACTACTCATCAGGGTTTCTTTAAAATTATTAAGGTTGTTAAAATGCTGTTAGTGGGATAGGAAGGAAAGCTGACAAGATGTTAGAATGTAAGAGCCGCCCAAATATCAAATAAAAACCAGACTATGAGAAACAAGACCTGACAAAACACAGGTTAAGGCCATAAAAAGAAATGTCATCAGTTAAAAAGCAAACAAACTCCACTAAAACAACAAACAAACTGTAACAAAGAAAAATACTAAAATTAACACTAAATGAAACTAGAAATTAGCGTTTCTACATCCTGTTTGGTTTTAATCCTATAATTTAGGATACTTATTTGTGATTCTTAGATCATTAACAGAACTTTGGGAGAACTGAACTATTTTTTGCAATTAGGAAGCTGTTTATTTCCAGAGTAGAAGGGTAAAGGGAAATTAGATAAATTTGTTTTGTTGTCAGTATGTATAAATGCCGTATATCAAACCTTCCAGTAACTTTCTTCAGTTTTCTAGGATGGAGAGAAAAAAAATAACAGAAAAAAGTTTAAATTATCAGTAAAAGGCATATTTCATCTTGTAAATAAATGATATGTCAGAGTATATACTGAAAAGGAAATCTGGAGGACAGGGAGGTGAGAAAGAAGAAATTCTGCAGGACGCAATTAAAATTAAAACTAACTCCCCTTGGATGCGTGATGTACAATTTTAAATCCAAAATACATCATTCTGGAAAGATGCTTTACTATCCAGTATTTCGATGCAAGACACGATGAATCCTGAGATTTTTATTTTCCGTCTAGTGCATTATGGGATACCCTAAGCTCCTGGCATTCTACTGAGACCCTGCTTCAATTTAGGTATTTTTAATAAGTCCTCTTCCTTTTTTCCTTAAATATGGCTTTTGTTAGCCAGCACTAGCTAAACTGGAGACAATAGGGAATACTACTGAGTACAGCAATCCCAGCTGTAATTATTATGAACAGGTTGATATATATGCATTATCAGCTACACAATTCATTGGCTTTGGATGAATGAAGACAGAAGTACAGCAGAGCTGCAGCACAGGTGGGAGGAAAAGGAAATCAAGAAGTTAGGTATTTGTTAACTTTTTCTGAAGTGGCTTCACTTCACGGACTGCCTTTTTGGCATGGGACTACGGATCATCGTTCTGCTCATTAATGGAAGAGGAAAGCAATGCAGGGCTGAGGCAAGCAATATCTGTAGCAAAATTTTTAACTGCTGTATGTTTGAAATATGTCTTGCATATTCATGGAAGCTCTTTTCATAGTGAATTTCTTGTCTGAAGTTCATGCTGATTTTAATATATTGTGCTATAGAAAATACTAACATAGTGCAGGGTATCAAGCCAAGAAAAACCAAACATTTTCTTAAAAGACCCCATAGTCACCGCTTGTGATTTTTTCACAAACCAACCTATGTATTAAGTGTAGACAGTTCAAAAAGGAATATGATTCTGCATAAAAATGAAAGATTAAAAGGTGCATAGATGCTGCATATATTTTAGCAGAATCTTCAAAACAGAACCAAGACTGCCAGTGCACTAGGCAGCAACAGTCTCTGTAAAAACATGGCAAACTCTTCAAAGACTTTGAGGTCACTTAAAATCAGAATTTCAAGAAATGATTTTCTTCTAAGGCCAAAAGGTGTGAATGCTGTAGAGCTCTGCTGAGGATTTCCCACATCACATTATTGGGAAAATAGTTGCAACCGTACAAAAAATATGTGACAGAGACTTCCTTTTACATAAATATAGTAAGTTCAACAGTGAAATGCCATATCTGAATATAATAGTTCAAGAAACACATAGAAATATTTAGATTTTTAAATTAATACCTTCTGAAGAGTATTTGTCAAATAATATCTTTTCCTTAACTTGCTCACTCCTACTTATTTCTATGTTATAATACTAAAACAAATTGATGTGTATTCTTATCACATAGAGCTGCTGCATCCCGTGTGTATGTCCCATATATCATGAGGAAAACCAGTTCTAGCTGTAATACACGCCTGAAGTCCAGAGCAGGTATTAAAGACCTGTTAAAAGGAACTTTTTGTTTGCCGAAGGCCTATCTCATTACCTGTCCACACAGTCAACATCATGACCCTCTCCCAAAGGTGGATGATCTACTTAGCGATATGGTTTAATGGGGATTAGGGACGGTTGGACTCGATGATCTCTAAGGTCTTCTCCAACCTAGAAATCTATGAATCTATGAAAGTGCAATATAGAATTTATTTTTCACCTAACAAGCTCAAGTTCTATAATTTTTCAAAGTCTTTAGTATGCTAGGATGTCTTACAGACTTCAGTTTATGTTGCACAGAGGGAAGTTCAAATTATGAGGCTGATTGAGTAACCAACAGTTCAGAGACAGTATGTAGTCTCCTCTTTGCAGTTGGAATGGGCTGCTTCTACCTCACTTGAATCAGGCTCTGACTCGGGTAAGTGCTGTTCCTTCCTTCTCTTTTTGCAATGTCAACAAATTAACTTAAACAACAAGGAAAGAGGAATAGAGAACTGATCAAAAAGAAAGGATCCTTCCAAGCTGAAAGCCAGCGACCAACTCGTTGTCTCTCAAGGGTTAGTTCATAAGCTGCTGTGAAAATCGCCATCGACACTATGTTCAGTGGTAGGCTGAAATAAGAGTTTCTCAGCTGCTACTTGGAAAATCATGAGATGCGGGCTGGACTGATAAAGAGCATGTTGATTAAATTACTTAATTAAGCTTTTAATATGCAATTTAAATACTCTCCATAAACCCACTAAATTTTTATTTTGAACATGTAAGTGTATTTTGTTCACTGTGCTTTTTATTGAACATTTCAGTCAATGGATTTAATACTCTAAATCAGTATCAATTCAATATTCTTTGACTTTCCTAATTAAAGCAAACAAAAGAACTGCAATAATAACTATAATTTCTTTTCAGCTAGCACACAAGATGACACAAACTAGCACAATCTAATATATAGGCAAAATATTCATAATTATAGACTTTGTCAATAAAAGAGTGCACCAACTGCGCATATATCTGACTTCCTAAAGAAACAAGAATGCTAATCAGTTCATTAGGGGCCTTTGGGTTGTGATATTTAGCGACAGGATGTAATAGCCTGCTTGTCCATGGAGCCTAATTGTACTCAGGATGAAAAATTATTTCCAACAAAGCACCATCCTTCCTTTTTCAGATTTCCTGCTGGTTTCTTTTTATGAGCTGCATGCCTTTCAAGACATCAGCATCATTCAGCTTTCCTTGTCATAGGAATAAAAGTAAAGACAGGTCCAGGCTTCATCACGCTGTGCAGGATTATCTAACCTTTACATCAAACCTTTTTTGCTTCGTAATTTATTGAAGTTCCTGTTTTTCTAAAAGTGAGCTTCTTTAATTAGTGTGTTCAGAGACATTACTAGAAACCATATGCAACCTTACTGTTTTCAAATTACTGCCTGTCTGCTGAGAGAGGGAGTTAGTGAGGGCAAACTATTCTTGTTCATAATATTTACTTTTCAAAATATGGGATTTGAATAGTCTAACGTAATGAAATATTTAGTATGGCTCGTTTTACCTGTCCTAATTTATTCTGAGTAAGACCAAACATTCATCTCACCTGTTTCTGACAGCAGTCAATACTCAATAATAAGGGAAAATAAGAAACTTGGTAAGTATAGCATGATAATTCAACTGATGTAGTATTTCATTTCTAACAGTTAGCACACTAGAGATTTTTCTGAGCTAAAGCCACATCTGGAATACTGTGTTTAATAGCTCCAGACATACTATCTTTAGCTAACTATCTAAACCTTATATGAAAATCATTTACATTTTCAGCCTCTACAACATACTAAAAGTAAATACTACAGTTTAATTGTTTGTCGTGCAAGAAAACATTCCATTAGTACGTTTTAACCTGCTGGACTATTTTTACATGGAATCAACCCTGGTTATTTATAAGACACAGTGAATATGTTCCTAACTTTCCCCCTGTATGGCATACAAAATTACAAGTATTTTCACTGTATTTTCCTAACTTTTTTGATTCTCCACCTTCAGAGTCCTGACTTATTAAAACATCCCTGATGTAGAAACAATTACCTACTGCTGATCATTGTCACCATTCCCTGCCACATCAGTAGCTGTACAGTATACCTTTTGAGATGGGGTGATGGTAGCACTCAAGATATAAGAGTATTACTGATTTTTATAGCAACTTATTTCTTTTCTTCTTGCTCTTAAGTACAATTGTTCTTAATTGTTCTACTACAGTGTTTTTCCTCCAGATCTTTCTATTTCTCTATAATCACTGAAGTTCACTTACTCTTTTGCTGCCAGCATGGGCCAGTGTCTCCCTTTTGACATGTTTTGGCTCAGATCCTCCCTGCAGCCCTTTACTCCTGGGGATTCATTGCTATTTATTTTATATTCTCCTTTAAAAAGTTTCTACTGACTCTTTCATTTGAGATCACAGAATCACAGAATGTTAGGGATTGGAAGGGACCTCAAAGGATCATCTAGTCCAATCCCCCTGCCGGAGCAGGACCACCTAGATCAGATCACACAAGAACGCGTCCAGGCGGGTTTGGAACATCTCCAGAGAAAGAGACTCCACAACCTCTCTGGGCAGCCTGTTCCAGTGTTCTGTTACCCTTACTGGGAAGAAGTTCTTCCTCATGTTTAAGTGGAACCTCCTGTGTTCCAGCTTATATCCATTTCCCCTTGTCCTATCATTGGATGCCACTGAGAAGAGCCTGGATCCATCCTCATGACAGTCACCCTTTACATATTTATAAACATTCATGAGATCCCCCCTCAGTCTCCTCCAAGCTGAAGAGACCCAGCTCCCTCAGCCTTTCCTCATAAGGGAGATGCTCCAACTCCCTTAATCATCTTTGTGGCCCTGCGCTGGACTCTCTCAAGCAGTTCCTTGTCCTTCTTGAACTGAGGGGCCCAGAACTGGACACAATATTCCAGATGCAGCCTTACCAGGGCAGAATAGAGGGGGAGGAGAACCTCTCTCGACCTACTAACCACACCCCTTCTAATACACCCCAGGATGCCATTGGCCTTCTTGGCCACAAGGGCACATTGCTGGCTCATGGTCATCCTGCTGTCCACCAGGACCCCCACGTCCCTTTCCCCTGTGCTGTTCCCCAACAGTTCAGTCCCCAATTTGTACTGGTACATGGGGTTGTTTGTACCCAGATGCAAGACTCTACACTTGCCCTTGTTGTATTTCATTAAATTTCTCCCCGCCCAACTCTCCAGCCTGTCCAGGTCTCTCTGAATGGCAGCACAGCCTTCAGGTGTGTCAGCCACTCCTCCTAGTTTAGTGTCATCAGCAAACTTACTGACTGTGCACTCTAGTCCCTCATCCAAGTCACTGATGAATATGTTGAAAAATACAGGTCCTAGTACCGACCCTTGAGGGACTCCACTGGATACAGGCCTCCAACTGGACTCTGTCCCATTGACCACTACTCTCTGGCTTCTATTCTTCAGCCAGTTCACAATCCACCTCACTATCCGATCATCCAGACCACACTTCCTCAATTTAGCTGTGAGGATGCTGTGGGAGACTGTGTCAAATGCCTTACTGAAGTCAAGATAGACCACATCCACTGCTCTACCATCACCCACCTGTCCTGTGATGTCCTCATAAAAGGCTATCAGGTTTGTCAAGCACGACTTCCCTTACTGAAGCCATGTTGACTGCCCTTCCATTCAAAATATTACACAATGGAGTCAGCCAAAGTTCTCTCTAGAGAAAACTAATGCAAAGAACAAATTTACCTTTATGGCTATGGCTTAACTTCTTGTCATACTTGGCAATCTATGTCTTCTCTGGCAGGACCATATCTTTCAAGATGCTTGAAAAAAACATGTAGATTTTCCTTTGAATTTCCTAAGATGATCACTATCTTTTAAAAATGATTAGTAAACTGCTATAATGCTCTTCATATATGGAGATGGAATTCCAACCCCTAGAAAAGTTATGATATTTATTGACAAGATCTTCCTCTTTATCTGACTCTTATTATTTTAACTTTTCTCGCTGTTTTTCTATGACTGTGACTTATTCTGTCTTAAATACAATTTATAAACTTATATCACAATATTTTGCTCACTTCCTGCTATCAAATTTCAGAAATGCCCAATATGTCAGTAACACTAAGGGAAATGAGGCATCCTACATAATCATTTTTTCATTTTAGATGTTTGATATTAGCATAGAAGTACATATTTATTCTTCAACTTACTTTTCCCATGCTCTCCTTCTTAAGCGAAGCTAATTTTTTCAAGGTATTCTTCACTGACTCTCAACTGAATTTTGCTAATTTCTTTCATATCTGTTTTATAGGTATGGAAGTTTTATAACCTCATCTCCAAAGAAAGCTGTATTCTAAATTATCTGTTACTTCAAACCCTAGTCCTCAGCTTAAAAATGTGAAAGGTTATAGGGCATTTTAAGTGCCAGGATAATGACTATTTTGGATTAAGAATAGTCTGTCCTTTTTCACAGGTTTGACTTCTTAATACGTGCTTCCCATTCCTAACTTGTTAGATCACACATAATTTTCTTAAACAAGTACAGACTTTGCATAGTCCTAGCAATACTTCTGAGAAAGCTATCATGGATATGTTTTCCTTTAACTTCCTAGCAATAGTTTATCTCTTGCCTTCAGGATCCCTCTCCTAGTTCTCCTATTATGCTATTGGCTTCTTCAGAGACAAAACTTACATTTTATACTATAGAGACACCATGCTGGTGGGCTGAACGTATCTCAAACACACATTAAGCTGGAAATAAAAGCCAACAACAACAAACAGAACAACCTCATCAACAAAATACCCGACCTTACAAAAAATTAGTAGCAACATTGAAAGGTTACAGATAATCCACAGCATTCAGAGAAGGCCTAAAGCTAAGTTGTAAACACTTTGGTGGTACCTAGTCTACTGAAGAGGAAATGGGAAATAATGCACTAAGAACCAGTATATCCACTTGGCCTCAGTGTCCCTTGCCATCTTTTATTTAATAGTATGAGATTAATCAAGAGGACTGTCTCCTGAGTATCCCTGCCTTTATACATAGCAAAATAACCTTCCAGCTAGAACCATGCCTGCAGAGGAAATTTCAACTTGTCTCTCTATCTGATATTTCTGCTTCCAGATTAGTCTCAGTGCCAAGCATATATGACCATCATCTGGTGGTGATGTTCAAGTGAAAGAATGTTTTTTTCTGCTTTAATTAAGTATCTTCATGTCACAAGGCTTTCTTACAAGAGAGACAGACAGTGAAGCTGGCTGTAGGATTTGAAATAAATAGTGAGAAAAGGGATTTTGGCAAAAAAAAGTTAAATTATTTCTGTTTGCGTTGTTTTTTTTGTTTTGTTTTGTTTTTTTTAAAGAATACTCCAAAGGATATCGACATTTTTGCTACAAACTTATCGTGCTTATCTTCAGGAACTGGAAAAGTCTGCAAATCCTTCTCAAGCTGTTGGAGTTGCCTCTCCATATGCTTCAGGCTCTTCTCCAGGTTTTCTGCTGAGACTAAAATACAGAACATTCATTCTGTTAACACCTTAAACAAGAAACATTGTTTGTAAAATACAAGAGTTAAAACCTTATCCAAATCAGCATACTACATATTTAATTCTGAAATAAAGGCACACAAAGAATCACAATACAAAATGAGGGGGTCACTCTACAATGTTCAGTTCCCTTCACTTATGTGGTTGCCTTATTCTGATTAGATGTGTACTGTTTGAACATTGCATTTTGTTTTATTCTTATGCCTAAGGTTTTGCACTGCAATTAATAGTCTGTTTTAAATAACCTGAGATATACATACGCTGATCTGCCTCTTCTGATTAACCAAAGGACAAGTTTTGAAGCTACTCCAAGAAATACAAAGCTTTCTTCAATCCATTTTGTTAAAACAGAAAATAAGAACATTTGTATGGAACATCATAAAGAAAATAAGACCCTCAAAACAGAGAAAATAGGGCTATTAAACACCTACACCTGAAACCTAAGACTCAATTCCCTAGTTTGAAAGCACAATGCCTGGTAAAAAACACAGCAGAATTTGTCACAGTGAAAGTGCTTGCCAAGCTGGAGGGAAGCACAAGCACTTCAGAAGGTACAGCAGACCAAAACAGGGGCTGAGGAAAAAGAAGAGTAGAAATAAAACATAAGGGATTTATAGAAGAATGTAGAAAAAGTGCAAATTTTCTTTATCGGAAAAGGAGAAATACAACTTTCATTCATTTGAAGAAATGAAAGAAAGTTGAACACTTGGTCTGTAAATAGATTATTAAAATGTGAAGATCAAAATAGTAACCTGAGGATAACTCCTGTTAGCATCTATTCTACCTTGGATTTATATTATTGAAATCAGTTAAAATTAATTTTCTGATTGCGATGGAGTAAACAATGTTTATATATGTTCCATAGAAACTATATCTATAGATAAGAACATACTCTGAATTTTAGTCTAATGATCTGATTTTTTTTCCCATTATTTATTTCATTCATAATATACTGTACTTACAAAGGTAAAGCTACTTTAAACTTCATCTAAAAAATCCCTGGAGAAAGTTTGTGGCCCTATGATCTTACTAGGATCTGTGGTGGGTCCATGATTTCGTCCTCTGAGTAGAGTTATTTGATGGAAAATGTAAGATGCACACACTGAACATATCTTTCTCTCATAAAAAGACTGACAGAGTCTCTAAATGACTAGAGTAAAATGTTGCATAGCAACTATAATTCCATTCATAGCAGAAAGGTTAACACAACTATAAAATGATCAATGGAAACGTGTAAAAATGCTAATGTAACCTACGAAAAAACCACAAACAACCCTAAACAATTTTGAGATAATCAACTTTTCTAAAAAGAATAAGGGACTATAAATGTATGTTCAGTTTATAATTTATAATTCATCATTTGGTTTATAATCACAGTTTTTAAAACCCTCTGTTTACTCTAAAACACTGTTTTCCAATTCTATGTTAGACTTTCAACCAGCGATTTGTAAGCCCAAATCATCACCACGTAGGTCAGTTGTCTTCAGTAGTTAAGAAACTGTCTTGTTTGGGAAGCAGAGCTAAAATTAGAAGCTGACGATGTTGACTACAGATGTGTTTCAGTCTTCACAGGTTCCAGAAACAAACCTGATTTTATTATAAACTCATACTTCTGCTGTCATAAGAAGCCTTTTAGGGTAGGCACACACAGTTTTCTGACACTGATTTACTTAGAAAGCTGCTAAGAAACGCAGACTATAATACCTTGTACTTCATCTAACTATCGATAGGAGTCTTCAGAATGTAGTTTATCTTGCACAAAAAGAGTTCACAGCATAAAATTAAAGTGTCAGAATGATGGGACTCAGCAAGTTCACAGGTTTAAAAACAAACCAAAACAAAACAACAAAAAACCTAACCCACCAAAAAAGCCTCTACATCAGCTGCAGGTAGCAGCTGAGTAACAGCTACATTCTTTTACTCAGATTAAAAAAAAAAAAAAGCAAAACCAACACACAACTCGGTGTCTAGAGCTGATTAACAGGTTATATACATGAGATTGTAGAGTTCTTGCTTCCAGAAAAGCCAATTTTGTATTTCTATTCCTTTAGTTCTTTTGACCTTGAATAGTTGCATATTTGATCAAGCATCCTTACATCTCTACCTTGTTTAGAAGGAGGTTTTTTCCCCTCTGTACTAAGTTTTTCCTGAATATAAAAAAATCAGCATTCCTTTGATTTCAGCAGTGCACAACTGTTAGATATATTTTCCTTTAAGACTACAATTCTGGTGACAGCCTCAAGCAGAGGCTAGATCACAATATACTGGTATTAGCTTGGTACTACTGTCTTTGCAACTTCTAATTCAATGAAAACATGAAAAAAAAAATCAAATCTGTAAAGATAAGCAACTCTTCAACAAAAAGATCACATGAAATACCTGCCAACCTTCCCTCGTGCTCTTCTAGTAGACATGGTATAAAATATTAAGGGACACAGAAGAATGGCAGAAAAGGGAAAAAAAAAACCCTAACTTTGACCTCTAATCCTGGGAGGACTGAGATATAAGAAGAAGTCAAACTGAAGTAAACAACTGATATGAGAGTTTGGAAACAAAGTCAAAGATTATCAGGGTTGTCAGCCACTGGAATAGGCTGCCCAGGGAGGTGGTTGAGTCTCCATCCCTGGATGTGTTTAAGAAAAGGGTGGATGAACTACTTAGCGATATGGTTTAATGGGAGATTAGGGACGGTTGGACTGGATGATCTCTAAGGTCTTTTCCAACCTAGAAATTCTATGAAATTCTATGAAATATGGTGCTTAGGGACATGGTTTACTGGTGGACTTGGCAGTGTTAGGTGAACACCCGATGATCTTAAAGGTCGTTTTCCAACCTAAACGGTTCTATTATTCTATGATTGGAGTTGTGAATGCTACTGAGCCCACAAAACCAAGGTCTTTGTTGAATACAATGCATGTGTGCCTGAACACTTCCTCACTTGTACCCTCTGAATTCTTACACCCCTTTGTTCTTAAATTTTCCTCTCTTGATTCCCGTTTTCTAATACAATAAATTATAATAATCATAATACAATGATTATTTCAGAAGCCTCTTCTTCTGCTTCTGTTTTAAAACCTTTCTACACAGTATTTCAAGTGATGACTCACCAGCCCTTTTAAAGTCTGCATTACTATTTTTACAGTTCTACTGGAAATACCTTACCTGATTATCTTACAATAAAATATCATTTTTTCTTGACCGAAGCTCTTACTACAGTATCCAGATGCATGATATTGTACTTCATATTATCGATTTTCATTTATTTTACTCTGATTCCTCAGGATCATTCAGTGATGACAACTCAATCTCCCTCTTGGACGGCAAAGCTATCTAAGCCTTTATCAAAGATGCTCATTGGTTCAATATCACAATTTTATTCTTTTGCCATATTCCTGTTAAACAGTATTTTATGTTTCTTCCACTTTTTTTTCTAATGAATATTCTCTCATTTTACATAGCATCAACTGCTTTCAGTCCGATTTCATAGAAAGAAATCAACAAAAGTTGATTTCAAAGAAGTCAACACAGATTTCATGCATAAAAAAAAATCAGTAGCCAAAGCGAGCAGATCAGTCTACTACTAATAAATTAATTTCATTTTATGCTACTCTCATTAATCTTCACATTTGTTTCTTTCCTCTATAAACTTTCATATTGTCAGAAATGTGCAATTGCCCAAATCATTCTTTTCTCCTCAGTTTCTTAAATATTCTGTAGTTTATGATCACTATAGCCACAGCAAAACTTAGTAAAAAATGCACTTGCTAAACTTTTAGTTTCATATCTCAGAATGCAGAAATGGAAACTGGTATTCACAATGTGAGAATACAGTACTCTGATTTTTCTTTCAACAAATTTCTATGGAGACATTTTGCCCCTCTCCCCCATCCCCAGATCGTTACTCTTGATTAAAATTAAAGCAATATTTCATCTAGTTTTGAGACTACACTTGTTTTATCTTAAATCCTAGAAATAATTCTCCAAAGCAAAGCAAAGCTACTTGTGTGCTGTCTCATTTATATTGCTGTTAACCTCCGCTACTTTTTGCAATAGATATTTCGGCAATCCTATGTGCTGCCCACCCTGTATAATTTTCTTGGATGGTCGAAATCTCCATTATCAAGAGAACTTTCCTCTTGCCTATAGATATTTCACTACTTTTGTCTCCCTGTATTCTGAGGGGAGAGAGTAACAGTGACAAGCCCGATGCAGAAAACTTGAAAACTTATACCATATCATAAAAAAAAAAAAAGAAAATCTGAAAATATACTAGTGCGTTTCCCATTTGAACTTCAGACTGGACTGATGGACAGAGTTTACTGAATAATTCTCTAAAACTGCCAACATATTATTGATGTAGCATTTAAAAGTAAAGTTAAATGACAAAACATAGCCTAAAAAAAAAAATCACAAAAAAAACACCTCTGTATTGTCAGATGGTTTAGACCACTCATGAAGAAATATTCTAGAGGCAAAATATTAGAAAGTTTCTGTAAACACCAGCAAAGACTTGAAATACCTATTAACAGTGAAATAAGATCTAGTTGGGTATACTCACTCAGTGTCACAGAAGACTGAAAATACAGTATTTATGCTTTATTTCTCCCAAGATCATGTTTTGTCTTGTCTTCTATAGCCATTTTCTGAGTTTCTTTTTTGTTTTGTTTTAGCATGTGTGTGTAACAGGCATATACAATACTCTTACTGAAATCCCTTTTTCCCCAAAGCTCAGACAATGCCATTGCCTCTTGAGCCCTTGGTCTTTCCCTTCTGTTGCCAAAGCAGACTCTAGTTGCACACATGAAAGAAGCAGCTCTCTAAGCAGGATTTAATTAATTTTCTCCTATTTTGAATTCAAATATGAGCACACTAATGTAGTGCAATTCGTAAACAATGCATAAGCATTTTTGTACCCAGTTCCCCAGTAATAATAATACCATCACAAGTAGAAATAGGCCT